GCTACGTTATCATTGTTGGGCACCCTCGTCTGAAATAGAGCTGGAATTTCCTGCCTCCGTCTGTCTATCAACTTACAGTTTCGTGCCCTTCTGTCTTTTTGTTTCAAGTGGACGTGCTCATTTCAACATTTTCTCGTAATGCGGCTCTTGCGGTGATCAATTTCCTCGGCTTTTATTCATCTGAGAAGCCTTGATTTCTTCTTCATAATCGGATAACTTGGCTTTACCAGGACATATTCTTCTTGGCTGCTGGTTTCTACCTTTATCTATTTTGAATATATCCATCCACTCTCTGCTGGCCTGTGGGGTCACTGCCGAGAAATCCGATGCTAGCCCGACGGCGTTCCTTTGTAGGTTACTGTCTTCCCCCACCCCCCCGCCTTGGCTGCCTTGAGAATTCTTTCCTTATCGTTAACTTTGGACAGTTTTAATGTACAGTGCCTTGGAGAAGGTCTTTTTTGTTGTCGAGATCATCAGGTGTTCCGTTCGCTTCTCGTTCTCGAATGTGCAGTTCGTGCCCGCGGTTCGGCATAGTCTCATCCGTCATTTCTTTGAACAGGCTCTCTGTTCCCTTCTCCTTCCGGGATACCCCTTATCTTACGTTGCCCTTTCTAACAAAATCAGATAGTTCTCATAGGATCCTCTTATTAAAAAAAAAAAAAAAAAAAAGCAGCCTCGGCAGCCCCTTCTTCCGCCTGACTTGTCGCTCGATTTCTGTCTTTGCGCCCACTGAAGGGCGTCGAGTCAGCCGGCCTCGGGCGTCTGCAACGAAGCTCACTCCTTCTGCGGATGAGTCTCTCTCCGACGCTCTGCTGTGTCCAGTGCTTCTACCATATTCTTCGTCTCGTGCACGGAGCTCTTCGGAGTTTCTGTTTGGTTCTTTCCACGATGTCAGGCTTTTTGGGAAAGTACTCTTCTACTCATTGACGGTATCCCTGAGCTCCCTGAACCGCCTTTCTGAGTTTTCCTGTATCTTGTGATTTTTTCACGACTATTTCGAATTCTCTGCCCTGGAGCTCACGATCTTCCATGACTTGGACTTCGGTTTCTAGAGAGGCGTCATCTTTTCCTGTGTTACGAGGCTTCCTTGGTTTTTGCCGCGGTGCTTGATGGGTTGTTCGTCTGGTGGCACGTTTGAAACCGAGGACCTTTTTCTTGCGGAGATGCCGCTCTGGTTTTTAACGGCTCAGCAGGTTGGTAATCAGCGGTCTGGCTTTGGTTTTCCAGCAGATGGCGCTCTAGCACAAGTTTCCGTGTCTTCTTACCTGCGCTGCTTGTGCCTCTGGGATCCCACGGTGGCTGGTGGCCGTGGTGGAGGGCGTCCTGTAGTCATGGGAGTCACTGCCTGGGTGACCGACGGGTGGGTGTCTCTGCTGTGTTCAGGTTGCCTGGTCTCAGGGCACCAATGCCATGGTGGGGGACGTGGCTTGTTGGGGGAAGCGGGGTTCACAAGCCCAGCACGCAGCTACCTGGCTCCCCCCCCCATGGCTGCGGGAGGCCATAGGTGCCGCTAGCAGGCTCTGCCACAACCAGGGGAGGGAGCCAGATCTCCAGGCGCTGACGCTGCTACTGCCCCTTGCCCTCTGCAGCGATGCAGTGTGGTGGCCGCACCCTGATTCCTCCCTGCTGCCATGGGCCACCGGCTCCGCTGTGGCTTCCAGGGACCTGTCTGTGGACGCTGCCCCTATCCTTCCCATCGCGCCTCCCAGACACAGGCCAGTCCACCCCCCTTCGGATGTACGGACGTGCGGCTCTCTCAGGCACACTAGCGTGCTGACCAGAGGCCTTCCGTTGGGTTATAGATGTCCCACTAGCTGTAGATTTAAGGGGAGATACAGAGGGGTCTTCCTACTCCACCACGATGCTAACGTCGCTCTACGGTGCCTGTTCTCGACAGTGAGATGACGTGCAGGGATGACAAAGTGCCACGTCATGCCGTCCAGTCCACCCTCTCACTGACATTCACGGCCAGAGGCTCAGAGAAGCGTAACGACTTATTTAAGGTCACATGTACTACTTAGTGGCCAAAGTGTCTCTACTAAAACACCTTCAGTGCCAGGAAGCTTGCTCCTTCTGCAGATGATTTTGTAGACCAGCGAAAATGTGGGCTCCAGAATCAGGCTGAACTAAGTCTGAATTCTTGGCTGTTCTGCTATCTAGAAATATGGCACTAGATAAGTGACTTTACTTCTTAGCCTCAGTTTCTTCGTCTGTCGGACTGGCCTGATGGTACCGACCTCATAGGGCCTGGCGAGAATTACAGTGAGACAAAGCTTGGAGATGCCAGCTGGTGTCTGCTGCTGTGCGTGCACAAGCGCTAACACTCGGCGAGCAGTGCTTATTACGAGACGGCGCAGGGAAGCCGTGAGTCTCAGACCCAAACGCCTGGGGGCCCAGCGGGCTGCGGAAAATGTGTGCAGCAGGGACTGGCACAGCGTGACGACCTGAAGGGGCCGTGTCTCCTCCAGAGGCAAATTAAAATCTTCTTAAACACCACGGGTCCGACAAAATATAGTCGACGTCTGACTTCAGCCTGCCGGTCCCCCGCGTTACGACTGCGGCCCCAGCCACGCAGAGTGGCCTTGACCGTTAATACCGCCCCTCCCTGCCTTCTTCTTCGTTCCAGTCCACAGTGAAGACCAAAAGAGACACCGTGAAGGGCTACTTCCTGGCTGGAGGAGAAATGGTCTGGTGGCCAGTAAGTGGTCTTCTGTCAGTTAAAGTCGCTACTCATCGCGTTTTCAAGGGCCAGGGTTCTGTCTAGTTTCTGCCGTCTCGGGCCTCCTCGGTCTTCTGTGTGGAAGGCACGGTCTACAGCAGAACAGGCTCGGCCGCCACTCAGATTTGTTTAATCGGAAAGAGAGTTCATCGGCTCACGTAAGGGAGAACCTAGGGTTGTGCTGGTCTCGGTCCTGGCTGAGTGCAGAGGCGCGAGGTGGTCAGAACCCGGTTTCCCCCTCTTGCATCTGCCTATCATCTCTGTCTGTCTGTCTGTCTCTCTGTCTACCTACTCACCTATCATCTGTCTACCTTCCATCTATCTCTAATCTATCCTCTATCATATCTCTATCTCTATCTGTCTGTCTGTCTGTCTATCCATCCATCCATCCATCCATCCATCCATCCATCCATCCATCTATCTATCTATCTATCTATCTATCTATCTATCTATCTATCAATCAATCATCTGTCTATGTTGTATTTATCTTGACACCTGTGATTGATACAGTTGCAAAATAAAAATACTTTCAATTAGTCTACTGTATCATGGAATATTAATTTACTGATAAGATTATGAACTTTGATGGCAATTAAAAATAGGAAAATATTTTAAAAGACAAATCC